CCAGCCTTCACCTGCTGCTCGAGTGTATCTGTGGCCTTTGATCATCTGGTGTCTCACACGTGTCTATGGCCAGCCTTCACCTGCTGCTCGAGTGTGTCTGTGGCCTGTGTTCACCTGGTGTCTCACACATGTCTATGGCCAGCCTTCACCTGCTGCTCAAGTGTGTCTGTGGCCAGTGTTCACCTGGTGTCTCATACATGTCTATGGCCTGCATTCACCTGCTGCTCTAGTGTGCCTGTGGCCTGAGCTCACCTGGTATCTGGGAGCCTGTTCCTTCGGCTCAGAGGCCAAAGATGAGGAGGAGCTATCCAGGGAGCTCGAACTGCCTCCTGCTGGTCTCAGCTGGCAGCACTTCCCAAACATCTTCACCTGGGCATTACTGCACAACTTCTGCATGACGGGTCACACAAAGACAGTTCAAGATTAGATTACCCACCAGGAAACTGTTTCACTCATAGAAGGGAATTTCAAGTGATGTTCCTATCTTAGATTTGATTGATTTATCGACTTTCATTTGTGATAATCAAATGTTTATATTCTGCCAGTAGTCAGCAATATGTTTTATTTTCCACATCTGTCAACTTAAAATTATTAAGGAATAATGAATATTTGCTAAAAGTTTTTTACTTCTGCTTTTGTATGTTCACCCATAAAATAAGTTTGCATATTACTTTGCTCTGACACACAAGCACACAAAAGTGTTAAAGGCTTGTGAAAATCCACATATTTTGTGGCATGGAAATTAATTACTTTACTCTTTTTCTCTTTCGGGTAAAGCATTTTTAGTGTTCTTAGTAATAGCATAGAAAAGAACTGGCACAAGTTCTCTCACCAAGCTAATTTAAAAAATAAAAAATAAGAATTTAGCTCAAGGAAAGAGTCAAACAAATCATCTGGAAGGCTTGCAGTACATGAATCTGCAATGAAAGCATAAATCTGGCTAGTGCTTAACAATTGTAAGGAAATGGAAACTTAAAACAGGTCTTGTTAAAACCCATAGTGCACACTGTGGATTTTCACACCAATGCGAAGGGGAGCAAGGGAGATATTTACATGTTGATGTGGAATTCGTGCAATTCCTTGCCTTGCTAATGGCTCACATCAAACAAATGTCTTGTCATGCCCTCACAGAGTACACAACAGTTGGAACATGTGAATGGTAATCATATGACTTCCCTTGGAACTCGTGAGCTGGAATTGCTCTCTCTCCCTCTCGCTTGCGGTCTCTCTGCATCTCTCTCTCACTCACACACACAGGACAAATAACGTCTCAAGCCAAAGACTGTCATGTGATAAAAGCCACACTAAATCCACTGTTCTTAGTGCTTCCACTTCAGACCTGCAGATTAGGCTGACAAACTTCAACTATAATAGTCTTCTATCTTATCTATTGTTTATATCTATCCTTTAAGAAAATACATTTGCTGAAGTAGAAGATGGTCTTGTTTATATTCACAACATTTATATGTTCAAAGAAAAGATAACAGCAGCAACAGAATATATTATTGAAAGCACATTCAAATAATTCTTATTGTAGTTTGCAATTTGGTTACAATTGTAATTGTTCAAAGAAACCTGATCCTTAGAGAAACGTTTCAAATTTATATTTAAAATATTTGTATAATGATAATGAATGCAGTTCCGAACAAAACAAGCTATGCACAGGTTACTAATAATTTTGCTCAGCAATCTGTGAAAATGTAATGATAAATAAGGAAAATATGTGAGGACACATCACATTCACACAGTCACTGTTATATGAATTTAAAAGAATGCTATAGAAGTCAGCAGCAAATATGGGAGATTAAATCAGACAAAGTTCAGACCTTTACAGAAGCAGAAGTTAAAAAGCAGCCCTGTGACTATACTCATTTACCAGCAACACCAAACAGAACCCTACTTTCATCATTTACTTTTTCCTACAAAACGTTCACTTCTCACCGAAACTGGCGTCTCTTCTGTGTTTTTCTTCTTTGTGTTGGAGTCAAATAGAACATTCCTTCCTCGTCTCTCGCAGTCTTGATACACTATCAGTCTGATCTGGCCTGGCTCCAGCTCAGGAGATGGCCAGCTAAAGAATAAAGCAAATGCAGTGATTCTGCTGTTGTAAACCAAGGTGTCATCAATATATGAAAGAAACACCACAAGTGTGATATTTTATGTAAGAATTTTATGAACTCCTAAATACTAAACCAAAAATCCAGAAAGAATCACAGAAGTGAAGACTACACTTCAATCCGTCAAACATTTTAATAAGCTCAAGACAACCTAATATAAAATGGCACTGAATATTGCAGTCTATGTTTATCTCCTGTCTGGCATATACGGTAGCAAAAGGCATCCTAGACTGTACTATCAAAATGCCTTTTCTCTGTCCAGCCAAAAAACACTGTTTCCTACTTTATCATGTAGGAAAATATACAGTAACTTGAACTCAAGGGAAATAATTATAAGTATCTATGGACTGGAGTCATATTCAAAATTTCCTTATATAAAACCTGAATAGTAGTAATAATAGTTTTAAAAGCATGTTTTCGTAGCACTTTACAGGAAAAAGTTAAAACACTTAAACCCATAAAAAACAAAGTGATTAAACAGTTGTTCCAAGGAAGAGTGATGTCTCCTATTAGTTTAAGGGTGATGACAAGAGACAGGGTAAGATCCTAAGTTATTTTGGGCTTTAGTCATTGTACATCCGAAAAGTGGTTTACGCAATAATGATCATCATACACAAATGGTGCTACTGAACCATAAACTTTATAGCTGTTTTGACACAATGCAGAGGAGGACAGCATATTCTTTCCAGTGATATCTCTGCAGTAAAAGTTTATATTTAACTTGATGAAAGATCACTTAATATAACTCTTAAACAAATTATTTGCACTTGAAATCACTTACATAAACTAAAACCCCATATAAATAACACAGAATATTCTTGGTCACTGATGAAAGGAATGTTTCTGATATTTATACCCTTTTGTTAATAAGCTACCACAACAAACCTCTTCAAGGTTAACAGAACTTAATCTTACAATGAAATAATTCATTTTGCTGTATTATCCTTATATTATCTTATCTGAATAATGTAACTCTCTTTGAACAAAGTGTGAAATAAATAATGAGAAGCAGTTACACACTGTATTGCTGTAATTTCAAATGTTTTCCAAAGACAGCATCAGCTCCACTCTGAGTGTAAATTTAAACGGTTTTATCCACAGTATAAACCATATCAAGGCCTTGGGGACTGCAACATTCATGCAGTGTGCCAATACCAGTGTTGTTCCAAGGACCAGGGATGTAAGTCAACTTTCTACTGTTGCAGTGCATTTAAAAACAAAAGTACCACATAAGCAGTACACCTTTTTATTCTGGCATAAAAAGTGCTTGCCTTGAAGATCTGATTTGAGCCCTTACCTGCTTCTGAAGACCTGTAAAGGAAAATAATCCATTTTGTACCCCAGGCTACACTTTAGAGTCACATAGGCATTCTGGGACTCCTATGCACAGTACAGTTGTTGGCAACACTTAAATCAAACTGTGGAGGATTGGGTGATTTTAACTGTATGTGTCGACCAGTGAGAGAAACAGCAGGTGTGCCGTTTGGCAGGGAGGATGGGATTAAAGCACTGCCAAAAAATTGAGTAAGAAATGACAGGTGAGAAGCAATGCTGATGTTAATTACCCCCAAGGAATACAAGAGTGTTTCTAAAGCAGTGAGTGAACAGTCTGAAGAGGCATGCTGCAGTAAAGTATCTCAACACTTAACAAGTGTATTATTTTCAGAAGCCTGACTGTGTTGTCCCAGCCAACTGCAATTACAGACAATTTTCATGCCCTTTTAAAACATCAGTTCTTCCTTCCAATCTATTGACACTAAAGTCCTCTGGGGCACTAAACAGAAGCTGGTTCAAAATTCTAAAAAACAAATGCACTTAAGTGTATTACAATTCTGTAGTAGATACCGAACCATGGCAAACTCATAAAACTTCTCTCCTTTCCAACTGCCCACATTCTGCACAGTCACTTAAATATTAAGTTACAATAAATTATAGTCAACATTTAGGCACGACCCCTTTTATATTTGTAAGAAAAACAGAACGTATACTGTTATTATATATACTATATACTGCAACAAAACATTTTAAGTAAAGTATCTACATATATAGAACATGTGCCATACATATACTGAGATGCATTAAAATTCAATAAATGAGTATTAGAACAGTATTTGTTGCATTTTTTAGAAATATAAAACTACAGTAGGCCATATGTAAATACACTGGATATATGATGTATTCACTAACATAATTAATATAGACATTAATAAATGACAGCATAAATAAATTATGTCACTTCCTCTCAAATTGTACTACACATGTAACATCATTTAAACAATTTAAACATCTTACCACTGCATAAATGAACATAAACAAATAATTTAAGCAACAACTCTGCTTAAATTGAGCAGGTACCTGGGCATCTTTGTTCATCTGCCAGCCTTTTCCCAATCTCCCAAGCCCCTCTACTCACACTCTCTCCAGTACTAAGAATAGCTCTGAACTAAATTCATCCAAAAACATGAGACTGTCAGGTGACATCCCAGGAACGCTGGACACAGCTCAGACAAAGGAATTTCCATGCTCCTGTGCAGATAGCGCTGTATCCAGTTGAAAAAGAACAACTGACAGAGAGGTCTATAGGAACGAAGCCTTGAAGTCCGCAGCTACAGTAGCAAATGCGTCTTCCTCATCGCTGCCATCCATACAAAACATCTTGTACCCTCTCTCGCAACAGACAGGAGGTAGGAGGAATGAGGCTACAGTATATTGTGGACAAATAAATTGGCCACTGCCTTGGTTTTCCTGTCGCAATGTTAGTATTTTTCCAGTGAAAAATTCCTGGTCATGAACCATCTCCTCCTGGCTAATTCTGATGTGAAAACTAAGCCCTGCTGAGGCATTCAGTGCCAGAATAGTCTGATCACTGTTTCTTCTCAGCGAAAGCTGATACTTGTTCACCCCTCCTGACCACAGCAGCCCCCCTAGCAACTGCGTCTTTGGCACACGGCTCCCCTTGCTCTCAGCATGTCAAGCGTAAGTCCAGACACATTTGGTGCCAGCAGAGTGACAGAAATCTCCCCTCTCTGAATTGAAAATAAATGCATCAATAAATCAGTACATAAAAAATACAAATGACTGGAAAATTCTTTGAAGCTTATGGGCCACCTGCAGTCAGCTTTGCTGTTGCTGTTTGCAAAATCAGATGAGCAAAAAGAAACACACACCATTACCTACCATGTGACAGGCAACAGTCACTTCCTCAGAGGACTGTCTTGAAACTCACCCACTATTCTGCAGTGCACAGGCCTACTCCCTTTCCAAACCTACTTACGTTGACTAATCTCAGCCTTCAGCTTAAAAGCCACAATGGAATATATTAAATCTTTGTTACAGTAAAAGCTGTTGGCCAGAGAAATGTCTACCTTCTTGCCTGCAGTATATGTGGGAGGCAATTTCAGTGCTAGCACTTAAAATGACACACTGCTTCATTTTTATATAGGCCTTTTGTCCCTCAATCATTGTAATAGATCACTGGACAATACAACAATGGTTCCAAAATCTATTTGGAGACTGGACAGCTTATTGAGCAGTGCCCAGATTTAATGAAGTATGATACAGTTCAACTCCTCAATCCAAATGGAGGACTTTTGAACAAATTGTAAACAAAAAAATAAGAACCCATTTATCATGGATCACGGACAGTGACAAAACCTTGCCTCTAAAGTCAACATCAAAGTACACCATTTTATTTTTTCAGTCACCTTACATATCAAATATTTACTTAGGCCCTGCAGGACAGGGGGTGGCATGGTGGCACAATGGCAAGCATTGCTACCTCGCTACACTGCAGTCCTGGGTTCAATTCCGAACCTTGGGTGCTATCAGTGTGTAGTTTGTACTGTATGTCCTTCTCGCATTTTCAAGCGCTCTGTTTTCTTCCCATAGTTCAAACCTGTACTGGTAGGTTAAATGGTTTCTGGAAACATTGGCTGTGGTATGAGAGTGTGCCTGTCTGTGCCCTGCAATGGACTGGCATCCCGTTCAGGGTGTACCCTGCATTGTGCCCACTGTTTGCCAAGTTCACTCTCCTGCGACCCAGATCTGAATGCAGCGGTTAGAAAAGGGATGAATGAAAACATATCCTGAAAATCCATGTCAAAAGCAAATACAAATTGCAACAGGTGCCTTTTAAGGATGTTTTTCCAGAGACATGTGTCTGGTTTAAGTCAGAAACATACTGTAGTTCCAGGCTATGACTCTTGCATTCCATTATCAGGTGAGGTCTTTAAAAAAGGGCGAATCCAAGCATCGTGCCATTATTTAGCAGAGGAATGGGTCGATAACATCATATTTAGAATCATGATCAAAATGTAAAATACACATTTCAATGTAGCCATTTTATTAAAAGTAATACAGCATCGCCCAAATAGCAGAATAAAAAACATCATCTAGGTGATGTAAAGCAAGGAGGAACACAAATAAGTGTTCAGATCCAAATCCATGTTGTGTGAGAGGCACGGATTCCCTGAAGTAGCACCTGAGACACAAAAGATCTACTGTATGCATCTCTACACTACAATCACACAAGTTATAGAAACCTGAATGTTTTTTGGTTTTTCACTGCATAGACAGGCAAAGTTAATAACCTTCAAAGGAACATTGTACCTCGCAATACATTATAATCCTTGGCATGCAGAAATGTAATGCATTCGGAATGACTCTAAAACCTAACCAGAGCAAACGATTAACAGGACTGAAAAACAAAACTGACTTGAAGACTTGACCCTAGTTAGTAAATGTGATACACTCATGCTGTAGGTCAGAAATAATTTATCATAATCATAATCTCAATAATACCATTTTCTTGTTACAGGAACAATCTCAAAGTTGTGTGAGTGTAAGCACTACAGCACAACTTGAAACAAATGTAAAGCAAATTCTTCATAAATACTACAATCCAGGTTCAAAGAACACCTTAGCTCGAAACACACATACAGTATCCTGCAAATATACGTGCTATACTGCACATCAAGCTGTTCTGCTAAATAATCACTTTAAAGCATGTGTTTGTTTTCAATCTTTGTATCATGTGATCAGCAAGAAAGTTATGCAAGGTAAATGAACCTTGAAGTTTTTTTTTTCTTTTCCTGAAATAACAGTATACAGTTACCATGTGTTGCAATGTTTCTTGAGCAGGTGATCCACTCCCTCTAGCCAGTTTACATACTTCACCTAAATCCAATTCCCACAGGTAATCTGAGCAACATAGGATTCAACGTTGCGTGCAGGTTACTATTCAACTTAACAAGACACAGGAGCACTAGTGAATCAAAGAAAACAGTCTGCCTCTCTAACAGAGTGAGTGCTAGTGGGAGTTTGTAATCAGAATTCTTAAAAACTACAGAGGAATATAACATACAGTATGTATCATATAAGGTCTTTCTGAAGTACAATTTGATATTTTACCACATTTATCATTGTTATTTTTTAGTAAAAAGTGATTCTGCAGTTTGGTTTCCAGGGCAAAAAAAATCAAACAATAAACAGTTATTAGTCTTTAATTAATATAGAAATATTAATTAAAGACTAACAGAAATAACACTGCTTCTATTTAAAGGCCCCATTTTTTAAAATGGCCTTTATAGAATGTATTTATTTTGTAAAAACCTGTCAAACCCAATACTGTCCGTTTAGATGTCATGAACAGGCTGTGCATTTGAATAAGTTAATTAAAAAAGAATAAATAAGTAGATACCATTAATCACTGGATTCAGACCCAGACCAAGAGAACCCTACATAACCACTCTGCTTCACATTCAAATCACTTACAATTACAAGCTACGCCTGGCTTTGCATCCAATGTGATCCTGCTAAAGTTCATTTAAGGATATTCCTAAATTAGGGTTGTGTACAAGCATGGATAAATTCCAGAATCACTGATAGCAACAGGTCATTTTCAGAGATGCCTGCCCATGTAAGAAGTAGTCTGCCAAACACATACCACCATTATTATACACTTTAAATTGCTGTACTTCAACAGACATACTGTAAAAAGTATTACAGCATAAAAAAGATAGATGCTGTTATATTTTTTTCTTTAAAACACACAAATTACTAGAGAACATGAGCACTATTATTAATTATTATGATTATTTTTAGAAAACTGGAACAATACATGCAATTATCCTTCATACAGAGTATGAAGCTGAGTAATAAGTATATGCATGCTCTTAACATACTATATCAAGTCATATTATTAAAGAATGTCATAAATTCCAAGACTTGAACTGTTTGAAAACATAGTAAATATTATTTTAATTAAACTTGTGAGGCACATAAAAGATAAAAATGATCAAAAGCCTCAAAATCAACAGGATATCAAAAAGTATCAACAGCAACAGTATAAAATAAAAAGCTTTCACATTGCATTGTACAGTATTTGGTGCGAAAAGCTTATACAGAAGAAAAAAATAAGGAAAATGCAGAAAAATCATGTTTTTAGGTCAAGTGTATCATGATTCCACAGTTCCGAGAAGTCTCGAAGCTATTCAAAATAGCTCAAACTGGAACATGATGACAAGCTGACTTAATGGTAACCATTAGTCTGATGAGCTACATCGCAGTCACACCACTGCTACAGTAACGAATCCAAAGAAATACTTATGGTAGGCTATATAATATATGTTTAAATTCATACTCTCCTTTATCAAAATTATTCAGATTATTCTTAAGGTTAGCAATAAGGGAAGCCTCTTATCAACCTTATAATCTCTTTTTAACATTGTTTTGTAGAACAAAGAAAAGCTCAAAATTACAAAACAAAATCAAAACCGGTCCTTTCCCTAATTTCAGGTACTATATATTTTATCACGATATGAAAGGCAATAAAGACAAGACAAATAACTATTCTTTCAGTATACTTTACTAACCCGACATGTAAATGAGAATCATTTATTAGTAAGGCAAAGGAAAGGGCATTTTCTGATGCTGGCATTCAAACTTGCAAAATAAACCCAAGAGTGCACCACAACAGACACTCAGCCGAAACAAATTTAAAAAGGCCCCACTGACAGCTCTCACCGAGATGAACTTTTACCAGATTTTGTTTGCATTGTATTAAGATTTAAGGGTGGAGTTTCTGATGCTATGAATGGGCTAATTTCCAGTGAGGCATTCAAAAGTGCTGGTAGCCCCAACTTTACAGAGCCCTTTGCAATGGTTTGGGAAACACAGCACTCAGCTGGATGGGAATAATTTGTGACCTGGGTTATCATGGGTATAAATACATAACATGCGTGTTTTGGTTTAAATTCAGTAGGTCAGCCAATTGTTTGACCTCCCCGGTATTCATGAGGACAACCCTTTCATCACTGTGTGCTCTAAGAGCTTAAGAGGATAAAATATGAGTAATCTATTCAAAAAATAAACTTCTGTTTAAAAATGTTTTTCACTTTTTTATTAGGGTAGTTGCTTAACAGACTATAGAGCTACAGCTTATCATTTGACACAAATGTTTATTGTTTATGTCTGTAAAATTATTTATATTATACTCAAATTAAACCAAACGACTTTGTCTTCAATCGCAAATTACAGATTTGGCTTCTAGCTCCGACTCTCCTGAAAATCTGGGGCCTTCATAAAGTTGATTTTCCCCAAAGAAACAACATGCAGCTGTATCAGTGATAATCTAGGGTGGGGTACTAATAATTATTCACTTTGCTACAGTGACATTTATGTGCTCATGGTCTCTTAAGAAACTTAAGTTCATTGTGAATTAATGTTCACATGCAGAACTTCCTGTAAGAAAAAAAACTGAAAGACTAATATGGAGACCAGACCGCCCTTATTACAGGAATTGAAGTGAGTCACATTTTAGGATGCGCTTATTTTAGCTAAAAAATTCATAGAGCTGATTCTAACAGAAAAATGAAGAAAGGATTTTTATTTCAAATTTAAGGGACTGCCCCTTCTGACAACATACCATTCACAAGCTGTGAGACTAAGATTTTTAAGTTTCACTACTGTTACAAATCCCTAACAGCCAACACCATTTTTTCAAATCCTTTAGCTTTGTAAAAAATGTGAAAAACCAACCCCCCACTTAAAAGTTACA